TTCAATAACATTGCGGTTTATTCAGTACCTCATATCGCACCCGAGCTCTTACACAAGTCTAGCAGGATCAAGAAACTTGGTGCGTCTCTAGAGATTTGAAGGTGATTACCAACTAGTACTTGCTATGACATCAATCTTGATCTCGATTTATTCTGCTAGTCTGTACTCTGGATCAGTTTGAATTGTAATTGTACCATAGTGTTTTCTATCAGAAGTCTATCTTACAGACTTCTCGTTTTCTTGTCTCAGATTTCTGCTATTCCGAGTCAGACTCGTTGCACTTATGATAACTAGCTAGTTGAACCATATGGGTCTTTCTGTACATAATGTACCTTACAATATCAGCGGCCATTGCTTTTTATTTTCAAGATTCTTTGGAGGTGTCAAGTAAGCGTTTGACCAGGCGGAAAGTTTGGATCGACGCCTTGCTTCAGATAGACACTACAAATAGTTTGAATACTGATCGACTTGAAGCATTTAATCAAGACAGGCCAGAGATCTGGGGTAGAAGCCCCGGGGATCTTGTTACTGTGACAAGCTGCCGGGACGTAGATATGGGCTAACCCAATAGAGATAGCAATCTGAGCTCTTGTAATCTCGAGCGAGCAGCCGTAATCATGCTTTGTGATGACTGTCCAATTGGTCTTCATCGCTCGATTCGATGATGATACCGATTGATTGCGATGGGAAATGTCCTGTAGAATAGTGCCGTAGTTAACACAACAGTGCATGCATGTCTAGTCATAGACGTCTACTTGCGTTGTGTTGAACGTAATACTTACATACCATCATGAGGTCAAGAAGTATTATTGCCACGTGCGCATAAACACGACTTGGCCTAAACGTTGAAACCGGCACGCAGTGCGCACAAGCCTGCTTTGACTTGTACCTTCACTAACAACCCTTCGCAATGGCGGTCTTATCCCTGCCATTGAACTTTACAAACTCATTTTGGTCCCAGGACTACCGTAGAGGTTTGCAGGTCCTCTTTAATAAATTAGACCAAGTATGTCCCCATTTTGATCAGGCTTTTGCATCTGACTGACGGCTACTGCTAGGGCGTTGCCGAAAATACTGAGATTGTTGCGTTTATAAGGGTGTGTAGTCTTCGCTCATCGTCTACACGCCAATATTGAGGCTTCCAACATCAGGCTCGCGCAATTGCGGAAGGTCATCTTGCCGCCACTCTTACAAATCCTGCATTAACTGGACCTGCTGGTGAGTCCAGTGTCAACATATTAGCATATTTTTCTGATGGCCATTAGGAACGGGTTTTGGTGCAGATGACGGTGCATCTCTCTTAACGGCCTTCCGCGGGCTTCAGGCAGAGTCTGTCATCCAGGGCCAAGCACACAGGAATATCTCAAAGGAACTTGGCACGTTGGTTGTGGAGCCTTTTGAGCAATGGGCTCTGGGATATGCGGTCAGTATACCCGCGACGTCTATATTTTCTACTTAACCACGTGTTGTAGGAGCGTATCAAATCAAACAAGGTTACGGTACTCGACAATTGGCTCAGGTCTTATGAACAGGCTCACGCTGAAGTGGGAAAGCTCAAGCAACAGTATCTTGCGAAAACGAGACGCGCCGATGAGGCGGAGGATGAGTGAGTTCCCCGTTTATTGACATGAGCCCACCGAAAATCGAACACTTTCTTAGTGCAAAATTTGCTCCTAACAATGGTGGAAATATTCCAGACAAGTATACATCTTCTCCACGACTTCGTCCAGCTGATGGTCGTGATTCATCCCCACGCTCCGCCAGCGTGTCCGAGCGTATCACCCAACGACTGAAGGAAATTCAAACGAGGAGTGCTGGTACTCTCCAATCTTCACCCGCAGGTGATGATGAGCAGCCTCTTCACAAGCTTGACAAAGGCAAAGGCAAAGCTGTGGATGAAGACCATCTACGAACACCATTTATTACAGCTTCACCGCCACCAATGTCACCTTTGAACCCGCCAGCCTCATTGCCACCTACACCTATTCTTCTAGCAGGACTTGCACTTTCCCCTGCTAGTGTGTCGCAACTCTTGGTCCGAGCTGCTGCAGAGCTCCCGTTGCGGCCTGTGCGTTTCCCTCTCCTTGGCGAGTACCCAGATTGCTTCAATGGAGAGGAGTTTGTTTCTTGGCTCAACGCTAATGTTCCCGGCTTCGGTGGAAATCTTGATGTCGCAGAGGATGCTGCTCGGGACCTTACAGAGCGCGAGGGGCTACTACGCCGGATTGGCGAGTTTGGCAATCAGTTTGAGCACTCTGATGAGGCATTTTATCAGTTCCGCTCAAAGGTATGAGAGGATCTTTCATATTCTTTCGTCTTCGGTGCCTTGACGGTATTGTTGTCATTCTAGGCTTTCAATCTGGCTAGCAAAGCGGCTTCTGAACAGGATGGAGGCACCCTCGGTGCCGGTGCCAAGCAGGCTGAAGCCGTAATCAAGCGGACAGGAGGAAACTTCGTAAATCTTGTGAATAAAGTTTTGAATAACGCAAACAACGGGGAACCGGCATACGTGAAAGCCAGGCATGAGGCTGATGTTGCTGACAATACCTACCGCAAAGCAGTGCGGAAACTTGACAGGCACCGACTCGCCCTCGAGGAACGCCTCGAGGAGGCATTTAAACTACTTCAACGTTGGGAAATGGAACGCTTGCGTGCAGTCAAGACCGGTGTGTATTGGCCCTCCATGGATTAAGATTTGCATTGATGTTATGACTAGTCCTCCTGCAGTACCAAGGCACCCTTGCCAACCTCCCTAAGTCCCTTGAACCATCCCTAGACCGCCAAGCAACTCTCGTAGCCTCGTATCAGCCAGAAAACGACCTTACTGCCCTCATAGAACGGTATCGCACTGGACCATTCCGCCCAAATGCGCAGATTTATGAGAGTGTTGCTCATGACGAGTCCGACGTCGTCTTTGGCATTGATCTCAGACGCTGGGCGGAGGGTGGTTGGCATGCCCTTTCGACGGGCGAGGAGAAAAAGGAAATCGTTCCTCCCGTGCTCACGGCATTGCTCGAGGGTCTGCAGGAAGCGTATAAGAGGCTGCCTAATGACAATGGCGAGTCCTTTTTACTTAATTTCTTGATTACTCATTCAAGCTTCATCAATGAACTCAGAGCGCCGCAAGTCGTGGATTTATGAGGTCCCTCTCTCTGCGGTGCACCATCTCCGTGAGACACTTAATGCTCTACCCGTCGACCAACCTATCCCTGCGGATATAATGGTCAAGTATGATGCACCTGTCATCGCCAGCACCATCAAGCTGTGGATCCTGGAGCTGGATCCTCCTCTGGCACTTTATGACGGCTGGGATGAGCTGCGTAAATTGTACCCTACCGTTGGGTCGTCAGCGACTAAGGAGGCGGAGAAGTCTCCCGAGGTGCATATTCAGAGCTTGAGTGCTGCATTGCAGAGGCTGCCCAAGGTCCATTTGTATGTCTTGGATGTTGTGGTGAAGCATTTAAAGACGTCGGTCTTTTTGTCGCTCGATTGGCTGGGTTACTGAGTTGACATCTACAGATTGATTGAAAATACCACTGTGGAAGAGGCTGATGAGATCTACATCACTAAGTTAGCACTCTCCGTAGGCCGGGGTAAGCCGTTGATCATTCAGAATCTCAACATTTTGCTGATTATCCATAGCCGTCGTTCGACCAAAGGTTGAGACAGAAATCTCTATCCAAGACCGCCATCCAACTCGTAAGTTCCTTTTACTTTTTTTGTTCTCGATGATTGTACTTATTCTGGGATCAGTCATGTTCATCGACCTCATTACACACTACGATGCCATTCTTCCGTCTACGATTAGCCGCAAGAAGCGAGAGTCGGAGCGCAAAGTACCCGTACGGAAACGGACTGCGCCTGTTGACATGCGCCTCAGTCGAAGTCGCATCTCTGCCGGTGCTGACGCACAGCAGCTGCTGGCCGCCCAGCAAATTGCGCAGAATCCCTCACTTATGAAGTCGCCCAAGTCACCAGAAAAGACATCATCCCCATCAATACCAGTCGCAGCAGCAGCAGCTGTTGTACCCCCTCCACCCTTGCCAGTTGTACCACCTCTAACTCTAGTACCTGTACCTGAGCCTCCTGCACCTGCCCTTTCACCTCCACCTCCACCTCCGCCGGTCCAGATCCCCGCGCCCCCACCTCCGCCTGCTGTTCCGTCTGCATCTGGCAGACCTGCATTCAAGGAACCGCCGCCTGAATTCGACGACCAGCCTCCACGTCCCGCTTTCAAGGAGCCACCTCCCGAAGTTGAGCTTCCACGCCCCGCTTTCAAGGAGCCCCCGCCAGAAGTTGACTTCGCAGGCCTCGTTCTCAAGGAGTCCCCACCTGAGGTTGACCTCGACCATCGTCCAATCTTTGTTGAACCGCCTCCATCGCCTCCCGCGCCCGCTGCTGCACCTCCCACTACCGTAATTCCACCTACACCGCATAAGCGCGCAACCGGAAGAGGGTCGGCTACCGCGAGCCCTTCTCCCCCCGAGACTCCTTCTACGGTCACCTTGGTCTCGAGGAGCCCGTCGCCCCCGGAGGATATATTCCTCGGTTCGGGCCGAGCGACGTTGAGTCGCGCAGGATCAGGGCAGACTGGCACCACACAGAGTGGCACAGCGCGTACACCGGGAGTCCGGGGACCGAGGACCGTAGCTAGTCTGGTGTCGAACTTCAGTAATAGGAATAGTGTGTCTGGGTCCAGCCCACCGACGCCTTCGTCACCGAGTCGGACGGTGAACCGGTTGAACGGCCCAGGGAGAAGGACATCATCCAATCTATATAGGAACAGCGGGTCTTCTGCATCGTTCTCGAGAAGGACTATGGCAAGTGACGCGGAAGATGATGTTACGGAAAAGAAGTAAAGACTAGGGTACTCATATTGATATATCTTGTTTTAGGTTGGACATTGGATATGTAGTGCATGGATCTATACTAAGTTGTTTCTGCTGGTCATCAAAGTCCAGATTTAAGTTCATGTTTAATTTAGCAAACTTAAGAGTAGTTCCCTCTTAGCTCAGTTGGTAGAGCGCGTCACTAGTAATAGTATATGACGAGGTCAGTCGTTCAAGTCGGCTAGAGGGAATTGTTTTTCCTGTTTTATTTCGACGTGGACGGAGAATGCCGAGATCAAAAAATATTGGAAAGGACTGGGCTGGTTGCGAACATCTCCCATGGCGGCGCAGAAACGGCTGGTGTCGACGGCAGCCAAGATTGCGTCGGTGTCGACCGCCTATCTTCCGCGCTTTCCTCCCCGAGAAGCCATCTTCAAGCACTCTGAAATCCCAAAACCCCCCTTTGCACCAGAAACCTGGGCATCCACCCGTCCCCCGCCTCCGTCTGCACTCTCTGCTTTTGCTCACAGAATAGGCCTCGCTTCTGTCCTCTCGACGTCAGACTCCGTTCTTCGCGTCTGCACACATTCGTCCTTTCCCACTCTACAGCAACAATTCGCCCCTGATGAGCGTAAAGTACAAACAAATGCTCAACTCGCTCCCCTAGGCAACGCTCTTCTAGGCCTCTTTGCCACAGAGTTTATACATACTGCATACCCGCATCTCCCCACACGCGTTCTCAAAGCCGCTGTCAGTGCTCAGGTCGGGACACAGACTTGTGCTGCTGTCGCACAAGAAATGGGTGCAGCGCCTCTTCTACGCTGGCATCGTTCAGTAAGTGTCGTTTTATACTCTGCTCGCAGCTTTGCTGAAACCTCCGTAGGACGATGTGAGCCACTCAGACGCCCTTGCATCGGTCCCACGCGCAATAACAGCGCTCATCTACGAGAAACTCTCCCTCCTCTCTGCGCGCCAGTTCGTGCACTCATACTTCCTTTCGCGCGAAATCGACCTCCGTGGCATGATAAAATTCCGCCATCCTAAAATAGCCCTACTAGAAATGATCAAGAAGCTTAATCGCGAATATCCAAAATCTCGGTATGAAAATCTCAGTTTTTCTTGTGTATTCTTCCGCTCACGTTACATCTTTACTACTGCAACAACAGACTACTCAAGGAGACCGGACGTTATTCTAATTCTCCTATCTTTGTCGTCGGCATCTACTCTGGCGCTGACAAGCTCGGTGAGGGGTTTGGGTCATCTCTCAGGATGGCCGAGTATCGTGCTGCAGAGGACGCGCTACACCGTGTGTACCTCACGCGTGTGCCGAACCATTTGATGTCCCTCCCAACGTCAACGTTCCCTACGGGCCTTGGTAGTGTGTTTAAAGTGAAGGGCAAGGAGAAGCCACATACGCCCGCGGATTTGGGTATGGCGGAGGTTGAGTACGGAAGGTCGGGAAGGAGCAGTGCGGGATATACAGATTAACGGTATTCTATGGTCTATTAATGCCAGTTACTAATCCTTTATCTTAATGAGCGTTTGACCGAATCTCTGCCGACTCGATATATTGAAATAGTCTATTGTATGTAAGCAGCATATGGCAAGGCAATCGATGCATCGTCAGAACCTTGATAGTGGAAGGCTGAGCGTTGGCAACGGTGCGGGTATATGGACCCCCGCGCCTTAGGGTGAAAACTTGGTCTTTGATAACAGACAGAGAATGGATCTTGGTCCATAAGAAAATTTGTAACGTCTGATTTGGCGAGAAGTTGATGCGAGGAGTATAAAAATCAGTCCAGTTTGACAATGTTTGTATGAAGCCGGTATATATGTAACATGTTCGTACAATTACAATATGCTGGGTAGAGCTGGGAAATTATCATGATCATGATCAGTATTAGATATATCTTCTGTCATGTACCCGATGTCGTTCTGGCCGCGAGATCTATCGAGCCAATCTTTTTCCTCCTGCGTCATAGCGCAATACAATTGTGTGCTCGTGAGCTCACTGCGAGGAATATTTGCAAAGTACCTGTTGACTTCAAATTGAGTCTTCTGAGGACTGAGTCTCGGTTTGGTATTTGTAATGTGCAGCTCCCGGAGCTTTGGATAATGGAAATACTCAAACAGGCGGAATATATCCCAATCCGCAGCAAGTCTGATGGATTTCAAGCAATTCATTGATGGGGTAAATTCTATCTGGCCCTCGAGGACATCTTCAACACCACGTCCTATGTAATGGACGTCGAATTTGCGTAGGGAGTTCCTTCCTGAATAGAGTAAACGTTCACAATCATCTAGAGACACTTTACATCGCAGGATGAGGGTCCTGAGTGAAGGTGGAAGTTGTTGGGAGAAAAACAGTTTAAATTGATTGTGATGTCCTTTCCAGGCGACCGCTTCGAGATGCTGAGGCAGGAGTGGTGTTACCGGATGTGTCACTGTAAACAATCCTGGTCCATCGATTGGGAGATCAACGGATAATTTTTGGCATCGTCTGTGACGGTCGTGGGTCCACAGAGTTACCAATCCCTGAAGAAATACCGACATATTATCTCTTGTCCAAGTAATGGCACCGTACTTGGCGACTACTGTCAATGCATGTCCTGTCTGAGCAAGAGATTGAAGGACAATTGCAGTTTTTCGCTGCTCATCGTGACTTGCATGGGCTACAAGTGTCATCCCGATCGTATAGCTTTCCTCAAAATGGAATTTAGCAGAAACGGGTGTAGACTGGTTATGGATGTCAACAGAGTTTGGAATATGGTTGACAGCTGCTGCCTCGACTGTTTGGTGCGGATGCGAACGAAGGGAACGGCGCCCAGCATAGAGACCTGGTTGATCAACTGCCTCTGAACCTGTCATAGCAAGTAGTGAACCAATCTCGAGTTCTGAATCAAAATCGTCTCGATGAGACTGATCATCGAGTATCAGTGCTCTTGAATCAGGCGAATTGGATATAGTGGTCTCAGTGCTTCCGTCGTCTTCATCCTGTGACTCTCGGTCATTCTGACCGGCATTAAGTCCAAATTCTGCATTGGATTCGGCTTCAAGATTGGAGAACGAGCAGTGGCCGTTACGCTGATATAACCAAATGGTAGATGCAATAAGAAGGCCAACATTCAGCACACAAGCTGCAGCCACGATGGCAACCTTTAGCTTCGACATCTGCAATCACTGTAATCAGGTGGGCGACACAAAGAAATGATGGACCACCTATTGTGTAGTGCGTACAATTGCTGCGAGAAGACTGATTTCGAGAGAATTCTATGGTTTGTAAGGGTGATATGGATGTACAATTACTGACCGCCTTATATGCTTCTCCGCACAAAAAAAAACGCGAAAAGAAAAATGTAAGATCGCTATTGTTGGTCGACAATCAAACATTAAATAACGCGAAAAGAAAAACTATTGTTGGTCGACAATGACAGATCCTTAACAAAGCAATGTTAACACCTCCATATACATAGAAGTCCGGTACACAATTAGTATCAACACGATTGCCCACAAACTCTAGTACTCCATGATTAGAATCGGATGTAAGACGATGAAACGCACCGCTCGCTATACATGGGTAGCCTTAGGCAGAGTAGTTTGCCAACTAACAGTATGCCCCCCATAATGATGACTGAACTCTGCACCAGAACTCAGAAGTATATCAAAATTTGTGGCGTCCACATTCCACAAATCACTCCGGAACTTAAATCTCTTTAGAGCTCCCCAATCAAAACTTTCAAGGTCGTGGAAATTTGACTGAAAGGCGGGATAACGGAGCCCGAGTGTTAAACTGAGGAGGGATGGAAAATAGAATTGGTCGAATACAATGCATATGTCTTCATCGGAGACGACAGTAAGGTTTTTCAAAGTTGTGACCGGATATCGTTGCCGAGAATGGCGTTTTATCAAGGGTGTCACAGACATGGACATAGAATCGCGTCTAATGTGTTTCAGAGAGAATGTTTTGAGCCTGTTGACCTGGCGAAGGATGTATGCAAAGTCGTACGAGGTAATGTCACAGGTGATAGTGAGAATCTCAAGGTTTTGGAGGAGAGAAGGGGTGAGAGGAAGCCAAGAATTCAAAATCTGTTTCGGATGTCCTGTCCATGTCAATTGGCGAAGCTTTGTGAGAGTTGCAAGTGGCAACTCCGGACAATCGAGCCGGTTAAATGGGAGATCCCTGTTAGGAAGCTCGATTTCCAGGTTTTCCCACAGACCAAACTTCAGCAATTTTTCATTCCCCATGAAGGCAAGGAGACGTCCAAGGATATGAAAACCGTCCTCCAGCGGCCAGTGATGATGCTCTTGGAATCTCGCCATGATTTTGAACGGATAACGGGTGTCCACGCAATGGCGAACATACATGGGTAATGCTCGAGTTATGCTTTCGTAACAATCACCCATACTGAGTTCAAGGGAAATTTTCTGAGGTCGTGGTTTCGAAAGCATCTATCTGCACTATGAGTTTGTTCACTTCGAATGCATAGGACTCTACTCACAGTGGATCCTCAGTGGGCTTCTTTGGAGTTCCTGGAAAGTCATTCAGCGTTTTATAAGCCCGCATTTACAGAGGCACCTTTGTTCTTTTTGGCATTTCACGAATAGTACAAGTCGCTCTATAACGGGAACTACCTTGTACGTACCGCCATGTCTCATTATCACGATGAAACCAATAGTTACGTACTTCGTATACTTGTTGCAGATGTGATTGTGAGGGTACTAGGGACTTAGTACTTCAGATCCAAATAGAAGTTGGTGGCAGGAAGTTTCTCCGCAGCTCTGATAGCAAATGTGCACACAGAAGATCTGCACACAAGTGCCTGTACAGCAATTGAAGTTGCCTCGGGACCGGATACTGACATGATTTAGTATGGATGCCATGAATGTTGGTAGTGGGGTGCGAGTTGAAATGTTACCGATCATGGCCAGGCTCTCCCTAAATCAGAAATAAGTTCGGTTTCCATGTAGAAAAATACAATGCACATCATTATGAGTGCGTATCTACACACACGATCGAAAACGCAATCATGCTTGTGTGCACGTCAACAATTCATTGAATTCCAATAAACTAAGAGCCGGTGGCCCGGAGCGAAATATACTTGCAGATTCTACTGGCAGGAGTCCTTCGCAGGTATTCTTGGCCAACGCAAATTCAGTACATAGATACGTTCAGTACAGACATTGACTCGTACGCGTCCATCATATGTGGTGGCCGATTTTCTTTCTTTTCCAACCACCCCTCATATAAGGC